TTAGTACATGTTGTTCATTAATATTACTCAGTGCTTAAATGTATAAGCATATTGTAAAAAGGACACATACAATATAGTGTAACCTTGTTCTTAACCCCCCACATATAAGTAATAAAATGAATATAATAAAATGCAGTTTAATTTTTTTGCATTTTTTTCTTTTCTCTATCTATCTATCTATCTATCTATCTATCTATCTATCTATCTATCTATCTATCTATCTATCTTTCCCCCCAATTCTTAAAATGTTTATAGGTTGTAATATTTACAGAATGATCAGCTGCATACTGTATAAAAACAATATGTCTCCATTTACATATCTAACTAAACATGTGTTTGCATTTCTACAAATAATTGTCTCATTCCTTCCAGATGAGTTCGGTGGCACAAGTAGTGAGGCTGTTTCATACCGTGATGCTCAGATACGAGATGGATCCAACACTGGAAGGCCAAAATAATGTGCTTTGGCGAGATCCAACATCAATACAACAAAGAGTTTGGTTTCAGACAGTGTGTGTGAGTGTTCAGTGCCTCCAGTAGAGCTGTTGAAGTTTAAAACTGTCAGTCATAACTGATCTGTCACATCGTTTTGGAGTTTCTTGGGATTGTTAGTGTGTGGATTGACAGATTGTTCCACCAGCTCCCCTATGCAATGACAGCTTCTCTTTGATCAAAGCCACCTGCACTTCAGCAGGTTCCTCAATAGCACATGCATCATTCGTCTATGTTCAGAGAGTGTGCTTTAACCAAAGAACATAGATGCAAAAGTGAGAAAGTGACATGCAATGGGAGAATGTTGAAGGAGTCATAATTCTCTTTTATTGCATGGGACAAAAAGATTCAACGAAAGTGAATGATGCTGAATAATCCGTGTATCATTCGATCATTCGATCATTCGTTTTTTGATTTAATATTGAAAGTAGAAAAATGAGAAAATGGCTCCTTTTTTGTTTTTTCGTTTTTTTCCAAAAAAACGAAAAGCAAGAATTCAGCTTAAATTTTCGTTTTTCGTTCATGGGTGGAAAAATTAATAAACAGCTTGAATATTCGATTTCTACACGTGGGCGGGGATTAAACACCTCTTTCTGCTGATTGGTCAGCCGAAGATCAAACTGTGCCATCATCAGTTCTTCTGCAGTATCATGCAGCAGAATAATAGTCCTCCACTGCTACAGTTGTATGGATTCTTAATGCATTTATTGCAACTACATTTCATATTTTTCTCATCAAACAGACTAATGAATAGCTCAACACAATTCGTACAGGGGCAGAATCTAGACAGGGCTTTCTTCTGTGTAGGCCAGCGGTTCTTAAAGTGATAGGGGGTCCAAGAAATAATTTGCTATAGCCTAAAGTATTTCCAGACTGTAAAGTGTTTTTTTTTATCATGATACATAGGCCTACTGTGATTTATTCCAAAGTGACTTATATGATGCATTTAACATCAAATAATCTAAATGAAGCCTTTTAAAAGACAAGTATTCCCTGTGGTTCATGTTTGTGGCATGTGCCAGAAAGATGCTCAAGGAGACTGAGACGCGCTAAAGCAGTGCATTCTGTTGTTCTCTTTATTTTTCAAAGGCATGACATTTTGTAGTTATTTTGAATGTAACGTTACACAAATAAATATGCATTTTACCATAGGACTATAAATGACAGAGTATTAAGTTATTTCCCCTCGATGGGGAAAAAAATCCAAGTGAACATCAATCAGTACTCAATATTAATTTAAACAGCTTTAAATATAACTGCTGCTTATTTCCTGTGCACCTGCGCTTGACTGTAGTCTGTCTGCTTATTGAGTTTATTTAACCCATCGCAATTTATTGGAACTGTGTGAACTAGAGTGACTATTCACCTTAATGTTGTTCTGAAGGCTTATTACTTAATAATACAAAAATGTCCTGCACTTGCCAATTTAATGGCAGAGAATGGTGACTTTATTTTATATATATTTTTTTAAGCGGATGCATATCTGTCGTAAAATAATCCTATGCATCTCGTGGCGTATATTCCAAGCATTCTGAAGGTATACTGAGGGTTTGGTGAGAAACAAACCGAAATGGCAAGTTATTATATTTTATGAAAATCTTGCGTTGCAGTGCGAGTGCGCAGCAGCACAAGTGCATATCCTTTTGAGATATCAATTATAATCAATTTTAATAAAACACAAGACTATATTATATAACTCTAACAGTAGGCTATTTAATATCTGCTGTTCTCCGGTTGTCAGTCAGAATGGCAGTTCTTGCGAACATAGGCCTATATATACCCAAGCCAATTTATTATTTTTTCCTTTTTGTCTTAGTGTTTAAAATATTTATTTTGAAACAAATTAATTAATTACTTAAACAGACTTACTGGGTGAACAGGGTAGGCTAAGACAGCTGTCATATCATACCCTGCCATGCCCAGCTGATGCAAATAATAGAATTTATATCTACACAGAAGAAAGTCCTGCCTAGACTCTGCCCAGGTATGAGTTGTGTCGAGCTATTCATTAGCCTGTTTGTTTGATGAAAAAAGACTAAATGTAGTTGCAATAAATGCGTTAAGAATCCATACAACTGCAGCAGTGGAGGACTATTATTCTGCTGCGTGATACTGCAGAAGAACTGATGAAGGCACGGTTTGATCTTCGGCTGACCAATCAGCAGAAAGGGGCGTTTAATTCCCGCCCACATGTAGAAATCAAATATTCAAGCTGTTTATTCATTTTTCCACCCATGAACGAAAATCGAAAATTTAAGCTGAATTCTCGTTTCCGAAACGGAAAGGAGCCGTTTTCTAATTTTTCTACTTTCAATATTAAATAAAAAAACGAATGATCGAATGATACACGGATTCTGAATGTCTCCGTTTTCTGTTTTCACAAAATAAAGTCATTTGGGTGAACTAACCTTTAAATAATTCAAATTGTGTAATAAAGTTGGTTTAAAGTGTAAAATGAAAGGATATGGCAGATTCTTTAAACAATAACTGTATATGCAATGTAGACAGATACAAAACAGAAAATAAAATCTGCTATCTAATCTGTCACACTCCCCTTTTTAGCAATATGCCTATTGCTAGTCATTCATTTTAGCTTTAATACAAATGTTGATTTTGGGAAATGAAAGTTTGTAGGTCTAAATTAAAAAACATTTTCTGCAAATTATTCAACAATTCCTGCCCATAATATTGTTGAGGCCACATATGGAAATTAGTGTGGTTTGTCATGTTTTACTCCAGTGAACATTATAGACACAAATTATATAAATACTAAATACTACAAATGTTAATAAATAAAAAGTTAATAACGTTAACTTTAAAAAAAGCAATAAATACGATTTTAAAATTAAGATGTTTTTGAAAGGATGCATTTTTTTTTTTGTGGAAACTATGATACACTAATGTTTTACAGTTTGGGGTAAGTTTACAGTAAATAATAATAAAAACAATGAAGAACAGAAAAGAAATTAATACCTTTTTCAGCAAGGACATATTAAATTGATCAGAAAATATATACATATTGTTACATTTGAAATAAATGCAGTTTCATGGTTTCCACAAAAACATTAAGCAGCACCAAATCAACATGTCAGAATGATTTCTGAAGGATTGTATGACACTGACTGAAGACCGCAGCAATGATGCTGAAAATTCAGCTTTGCGTCACAGGAATACATTTCATTTTAAAATATATTCAAATAGAAATGTTAAGTTATTTAAAATTGTAACAATATGTCACAATATTACTGTTTTACCTGTACATTCAGTCAAATAAATAGCAAGCATACAGTAATACGGTAACACTTTAGAATAGGGAACACTTATTCACTATTAACTATGACTTTTCCCTCATTACATTCCTAATTTGCTTCTTATTAATAGTTAGTAAGGTAGTTGTTAAGTTTAGGTATTGGGTAGGATTAGGGATGTAGAACATGGTCATGTAGAATAAGGCATAATAAATGGCTAATATTCTAGTAATATGCATGCTAATAAGCAACTAGTTAAGAGACCCTAAAATAAAGTGTTACCAGTAATACTTTAGTCCTGAGAAAACAATTCAGATTTCTATTTCAAATCTACCTTCATAAGAGTTGACTTTTTTTTAATTTTTTTATTTTATTGCAAGTATAAACACTTAACAATTAATGTAACATTGGATGACATTATGAATACAGAAATTATATAGGAAGAAAAAAAATAACAATAAAAAATAAACAAGAGTACATAGATAAAACAAAAAATACAGAGGTAGTAAATCAAGAATTATGTACCATTCAGCAGATCATTATACAGTTTCGCAAATTTGACACTTTTTCTGGTATTCATATTTTTTTGTGTTATAATTAAGTAGATAAAGTCACAAAGAAAAGTATGTAATTTTGGAGATGTTGAAGAACATTTATGAATATAATATTTTCCCAATATAATAGTTGACATGTCTCAATGTAGTGTGCTTCGTATGACGAAAGCATTTTTGCAATTGGCTTTTTGACTCAAAACTTTATATTTTCCTTAACATTAATCACATTCATTATATCAACAACCCAGAGAGCAGGAATAAATGCAGGTCAATTTCTGTTATTCCCATAGATGTAGCTTGGCATTGTGTATAGGCTGTGAACATTAATTGTTTGACAAAACCTAACAATTTGTGACAACTAGCCCCAGTCTCCCGCCTAGCTCAAGATTGTAGGATGTAAATAATGTTGATCATACATTAAACATAGTATTTACACTATATTAATGTATATATTTTGAGTTATCGACAATTGCATTTGATGTAGAAGCAGCATAAACGCAGCTAAAGGCTGACCAGCAGAGGGCATCCAGTACCAATACATTTGTGAATATTAAAATGACTACAGAATACTCTTTTTGGAGCCAGTGAATGCAGGAGATTTGATTTCTGCAGACAATCCAGCCAATCGCTGCCCGTCAGGGGACGTCACTGAGATGAAAGGGAATTCTGCATCAAACACGCGCAGCAGATCAGATCAGATCAGATCAGATCACACAAGACCGAGCCGTGCCTGCCTCGGGATCCTGCAGTCAGGCTTCTCTTGTGTTCATATGGGGTGTGTGCATTTGCAGATATTCGGATTAACACATGGAGGGCTGTAAGTGAATAAACAGGCTCGTTTAAAGCGCTTTTGTCCAGGACGTGTCTGCAGCTTTGATGCACATGCTGATGGGAGATCAGATCACATCGGGCTTCACAGACCGCAGGCGAAATTTCACCTGAGCTTTGACTTCAGGGCTGGACTCTGGAAGGGTTCGGACCTCAGCGGCGAGCGCACTGGATCACATCCCGTTCCCGAACAGCTTTGCATAGATAGGAGAGGGCGATCTCGCGAGCGACTCGCTAATTATCGGTAAGAAAGTTTTGCGCACAGTTGCAGCGCTGCTTTGACCGCGCGTAATATGTATCCAAAAGCCTGTATCTTCAGAAAACTACACGAAACAAACACTTACAGCTTATAAGGGACCTCATTTTATTTCGTCCAGTACACTCTTTTTTTTTATGCCGTGTTAAAAAGTTACAAATAGAAAAGGGTAACTATATTTTATACTATGCATTGTTATGGCTTGAAGCCTGATTTCAATGTGTAACACGACATAATGTAGTAGTATTAAATGAAAAATAGCGACATGAGCTACTAGTAGGCTACATCTTTGAATATTAAAATGACTACAGAATTTAACGGAACATTCATTAGGTCTAGGGATATGCCGGTATCAAATTCTCATGTTGCGATGAATTGCTAAGGCTTTTATCACGGTATACGGTATTATCACGATATTGACATTTAGTTAAAAAAAAAAGTGCTGTCATAATACAGTATAACAGGTTTAATAACTTTTTTCATATAATGAAAATAACTGGACATTTAAACGCAATAAAGCAATACAGAGAAATGTATAAAGTTAAACGTTTTATACAGATTAAAGTGCAAAAAAAAAAAAAAAGACCAATAGGTATCACTTTACAATAAGACCTCATTAGTTAAGCTTAGTTAATGCATTAACATTCACAATGAGCAATAGCTACAGTTGCTGCAGAAGTTATTAATCTTTGTTAAAAAAAATACAAGGCTTTGTTCATGTTAGCTCATTAAATAACACAGTTGCAACTTTCGATTTTAATTTTTTATTTGTGTTAATAATGCTAACTAATGAAGCCCTAATGTAAAGTGTGACTGAACAATAAAGAATCAAAACGCTTTCAAACAATATCTAGGGCATGTTGTAGTCCAGATTAAAATATAAAATAAATAGCCTATTAAGTCTAAATATTTAAGTATTTGGTGCTGTGATGAACATCATAGCAAATACACAAATCTGAATGGCTGTTTAAATCATTTAAACACCTTTCAGAAACAGAAAGTAGTGCAGCTGCTTTGTTTACAGGGTTTCCGGGGTAACGGCTGCATTTAAAATAATAATTTTTATTATTATTATTTCTGCAGTTTAGCGCCATCTGCTGTCAGAGAGTGAGAGTGTGCTTTCATCCAGAGCGTCCGCCATGTGCTTCTGGTCCGCGCTTATACAGCGGTGTTGTGCATTTTGACCAGTTGATGGGAAAAGTATTCTTAAAATGCATTCAAAATTCTAAATAATTTATATATAATTATCCACGGCATTTAGAAGTGCCCACGATAGCAATATCGTGCATATTCATTACCGTGATATATCGCATTACCGAATACCGGCACAAGTCTAATTAGGTCTAGACAAAAGGCAACAACTTTTTCACATACTTATTTTTATAATAATGTTTATACCAACAACAACGACAAAAGCAACAAAAAACAACAACAATTAATAATAATAATAATAATAATAATAGATCTCTCTCTCTAAAGAATATCAAGTATGTAACTAGCAAGTTAATAATTATCGTCTAAATTATTTAGTTTTTATTTATTTATTTATTTTTGAAGGAGGCTATTTTTTTTCTGATTCAGCCAGTATTATTAAACCGTTAAATATAAATGTATAGTTGTTTACATATAGTATATAGACGTGTCTACATTGCAGTTTTTTGATGTTTATTGCATATTGGTTAATACTGTCAACAAGAAGAAATATAACTCTCTCTCTCTCTCTCTCTCTATAATGTAATAATCCAAACTAAATTTATAATACTTTCTGAGTATAGCAGTGTAAGCCAGAATGTTTATGTAGGTTAAATCTACGAAAATTGACTCTGATAGATCATTATCAGCCAATATTACACTCTAAAAAATGCTGGGTTGTTTCAACCCAACTTTGGGTCAAATATGGACTAACCCAACTGTTGGGTTACATTTTTACATTACATTTTTAACCCAAAAGTTGGGTTAGTCCATATTTGACCCAAAGTTGGGTTGAAACAACCCAGCATTTTTTAGAGTGTACCCTATTTTTAATTATCGGCATCTGTATCCAACTCAGTAAATGTTAAACCTCATTAAATATTAAACATCTACAGAGCATTTCTAATATTTTGATGTCTGATTTCAACATGCAGTAGCTTTATTAGGAACATTAAAAAAGGGTATTTATTTATAATAATCATTGTTTGCTTGGTGTTCACACAGTTATGAAAGATAATGCAAATAGTGTCCTCCATTAATCATTCATCAAAGGATTTCTGTGTTCACAGTGTATGTGGGTTCACAATGCCCCGGGCTCAGATCCTCTCCACTTTTCCTCTTCAGAGGATACTCGTCCTTCAACTGTGCGTTATGGTATGTTTCGTTCATATGAACACTTTCTGCTAACTTTAAGAGTGAAAAACTGATATTCTGAGATGTGCTCTAAAAGACCCGTGCACTACTACATCACCAAGGCTGCATTTACTTGCACTCCAATTTGGTAAACCTCCAATGATGTTATGGAAGAATTAACCATGTTTGATTCATGTTCCTCACAGTTTGCAGTCATGGCAGAGGAGAGAAGAGATTGCAGGGAACAGGAATACAAGGATAAGCTTGGAAACTGTATTCCCTGCCGGCAGTGTGATGCTGGACAAGAGCTATCCAAGGTTTGCCAATTCTTCACTGGGTTATTTCTTTTTTTTGTTTTAGCCTCATTTGAAACATTGGCGCACATAGTATTTTTAATTTCCTAAAAAGATTACATCTTAAATCAAGACATAATATCCAAAGCACTCTGTTGCTTTGAATTGGTTCCCATTGAGCTTCATTCTGGAATTCTTTCCGGTCCGCACCTACCACAGTCAGATTAATACGCAGATATATTTAGACGCTTATACTTTGAGTGCTTTTTAAAAAAGACCACGTTTGTGATTAAATCTGGGACCGAGAGACGCGTTCCCATCAGTTTTCCTGACCAAACTGGCCAAAAGCAAAGAGTTCACCAATAAAGAGGGGATGCCAATGTTTTGAATAGCTTGTCCCGACCAATTATTTATTGCTTCCTCCTTTTCATAAAGAGAGAGGGTAAACCGTTGTTCTCCTTTGTAGAGCGCTGGCCACGCTTTAATCAGTTACACCCACAATTCTGCTCACAATCGTCTTCAAGCCTTTTAATGTCATTGCCACCCCTGAGAATTTCAAGGCCTTGTAAACACGGCATGTTAAGAAATTACGTGGTTTTGTACTATAAACCTAATCTAAACGGAGGTCTGGGGTATTTCTGAAGTGTGGAAATCATTACACAGTTTATGCCTGGGTAAATGCAGGTACATCAGGCTGTTGGATGTATACAAATGTAGTGCACATGCTTCTTATAACCGCACGACTTTCATGTCGGTACACATGAACACACACTTATTGGTTATATGCTTCAATGCTTCAGATGTTTTCGGGCCAATTGATGCTTTGGGGCCTGGGGAGGTAGTGAATGATTGCCTACTTTTTCCATTCAAGCCCTTGTGGTTTACCCTATTCTTTAGAGCCAAGGACAATATCATGTGGTGTTTGAGTTACTTTCGATTAGATTCGTTTCGATGTTAAAATACTTTTTTTTATCCCACTTTAATATGCAGATACTAGTATGAGTAGGTTTATTTTCCCTAAAAAGTTTGTGGTGTTATCAAAACACCGCTTTGTTTGTTTGAACATCCTTACCTGCCCAACAACAGCATCAGTGGCTCAACCAATGGCGTAGGTTTGGGGGCGGGGCTATCTGTTTTTTGCGACCAATGGCAGATGGGAGCAGCGCTGGGAAACCTGTTTAAAAAGAGTCATTATTTTTACTATAGAAATTACACTTAACCTTAGAATAGCTGTAATAACAACAGCAACACCTTAACATTTTTGTCGTTTTAGTGTCTGACACTAAATCAACTCTTCCAGATGCCCTTTTGCTGTTTCTCAGATCCATGATGACTAGTCAAACAGCTTGTAAAACCCCCACATACACACTGTCTTTCACCTAAAAAGGTGATAACAGCCAAGATAAAGTTTTGTTGATAGGCATTTTGTAATTGTTAAAGTGATAGTTCAGACAAAAATGAAATCATTTACACAGCCTCATGTTATTCAAAAATGTTGCATGCATCGAGATCACCGTGTCTCGAGAACCCAGTCAGTTTGATTTGAGAACGAATCAGTCAGGTGAGCTGTAACAACGATATAACAATTCAATTAAAAGGGTTTTAACGATGTTTGATGCATCGGCTGCCAATAGTGACGTGGCAACACAAGCTCCGATATAAGTTTTATTTTGTATGATATACATTTTGGTGCAGTGTGCTTCACATCTGAGACAGAAGCACAGACGTTTCGCAGTTGTCTTGCCCATCGCCCTTGAAAAGATCTAACTCAAAAGATTTCTTCACAAATCGGACAAAGAACAGCTTGGACAGATAGGAGTTTGGAACAACATGAGAGTGAATAAATGATGACTTTCATTGCTTTTCAACTATTGCTTAAATGATTCTGGAAGTAAATTATGACTTTTGATGAATTATCTTCTCAATCCGTCAACGGATTCATCCTTATGCAGATGTGCTGTTTCTTCCAAACAGACCTCATAAACATTCACACACATTCCTGACTGCTAAGCGTCATGGAGGATTGCATGCTAAATTAAACCCGTCTTGACAGCAATTTTTTTTAATAGATTAATATTTTATTTTTTCAATGATTTTATTCAATAATGTTCCCAAGTCTAATTTCTTTTAGCAAAGTATAATCATTTTCTTCTTTTGATTTTGGGGTGAAATATGACCCAGATAATTATGTTCTTGACAGGTTTTATGAGATTCACCCTTAAAGCGTACCTGCTGGGTGAAGTAAGAAGTTCACTCTTTGCTTTGATAGGAAGTATTGATGAGCAGGAGGGTTCAGGTTTATTTAGTAGAACAGAGTGTTTTGGGGTTTTAAATATGCTGACTTCAAAACACTTGTGTGTCTGAACATGCTTTACGCCATCCTGCTTTCTCCTCTATCACACATCCATCCTGCCTGTTTTGCTTGGCATTCTCACTCAAATCTGATCTGGAGATTGTGGAAAAATGGTACTTGCAGGTACTGGTTTGGTGAGTCCTCTTAGACAAGATTATGGACTGTGAAAACAGGCTTTTGGAAAGAATAGAGGTGGCATTCTTAACTTTTCATTTGATAGCAAAAGTGTACATATCTGCTGTTAGAGGTTACATAATGTGTAAAATACATTTAATTTAGGTTACACTGTACTGCTGAAATATTTCTACACAGACAATAATTTGGTCCGATCACTGTCTTATTGCAACATACCTGTTAGTTAGAGTCTTATATAATGTGTATTGACCTCTTTTGACTTCTTGACTTTTTTAAAAACAGCAGCAGGAAGCAGACAGGAAATAATGTAAGAAACAGGATTAGGAAATGTTGCAAATCAGATTCAAACTCTGATTGCCCTCATGAGCACTACGGCTCAATATAAGCATGTGTGCTACCTGTTCGAACACGGCCCTGCCAAATCTATTTATTATAGATTATATTGAAGCAGTTCTGCCTGTTTGGCTGACCAATGGTAGACAGGAGCTGTGTTTGGGGAAAACCATTAGTTTGTGTTGTGACTGCCTTTGACACTTTCTGTTATAACAGCAGGATGGATGTGTGATAGAGGAGAAAGCAGGATGGCGTAAAGCATGTTCAAACACACACATGTAGTCCATAACAATTTTCCTCTTGAGGACAATAAAGTATACTACTACTACTACTACTACTACTACTACTGTTGAAGTAATAACAAGGAGAGGACATGAAATGATGGGAGAAATAGGATTAGGAACTGTTGTGAGCGATATTTGAACTTCTGGTGCCAATACAAGAACCACAGCTCAAAGAGATATCTATTAAACTTCAGGTCATATTTGGGGGCCTGAATCCTTATGGGCATTTATCTGAAGTCCAGCTATGTTTAGGAAATGTTGCAAGTCAGATTCAAACTCCTGTTGCCCTTGTAAGCACCACAGTTTGCAGTGCTAACTACTAAGCCACTGCTCTGACATAAAGACACATTCAGAGCCACATCTGGGTGCCGGAATCCCCATTGGCTTTTATCTGACGTCCATTGAGGATTATTAATATTGTAAATCAGATTCAAACACCCATTGCCCTTGTGAGCACCACAGCTTAAGATGATAACTACTAAGCCACAGCTCTGACACGTAGACACATCTGAACCATATTCAGGAGCCTAAATACTCATTTGCTTTTATCTGATGTCCAGCTAGGATGAGGAAATATTGCAAGCCAGATTCAAACTCCAGTTGCCCTTTTGAGCACCACAGCTCACAGCAATAACTGCTAAGTTATATCTCTAATACGCATACACTTTTTTTGCTTTTGACATTTTTTATACTAAAATGATAACAGGCAAAGGACGGATAATGTTAGAGGAAACAGGATTAGGAAATGTTGTGAGCCAGACATTGTGTTCTTTTGAGTACCACAGCTCACAGTAATAACTACTAAGCCACGGTACTGACAAATAGACACATTTAGAGCCATATTCGGGAGCCTGAGTCCTCATTGGCTTATATCTGATGTACAGCTAAGATCATGAAATGTTGCAAGCCAGATTCAATCTCCTGTTGCCCTTATGAGCACCACAGCTTACAGTGATATCTACCAAGCCACTGCTCTGATGCAAAGACACATTCTGCTTATGACATTTTTTTATTGAAAGGATAACAGGGAGAGGACAGAAAACTTTGGGAGAAACAGGATTAGGAAATGTTGCAAGCTGGATTCGAACTTTAATTGCCCTGGTTAGCACCACAGATCACAGAAATAACTACTAAGCTACAGCTCTGACACAGACACTTTCAGAGACATATTCGGGAGCCTGAATCCTCATTGGCTTATATGTGATGTCCAGTTAAGATTATGAAATGTTGCAAGCCAGATTTGAACTCCTATTGCCTATATTAGTACCACAGCTCACAGGGAAAACTACTCAGCCACAGCTCCGACATGTAGACACATTCCACTTATGGATTTTTTTATTGAAATATTAGGGCTGAAGCTATCGAATATTTTAGTGATTGAGTATTCTACCGAAAATTCCATCGATTAATCGGATAAGAAGAACTTTGTCTTTATTAAAGAGCAATATGAAATATACAAGAGAAAATAAGACAACAATCTCCTGTTGCCCTTATGAGCACCACAGCTTACAGTGATATCTACCAAGCCACTGCTCTGATGCAAAGACACATTCTGCTTATGACATTTTTTTATTGAAAGGATAACAGGGAGAGGACAGAAAACTTTGGGAGAAACAGGATTAGGAAATGTTGCAAGCTGGATTCGAACTTTAATTGCCCTGGTTAGCACCACAGATCACAGAAATAACTACTAAGCTACAGCTCTGACACAGACACTTTCAGAGACATATTCGGGAGCCTGAATCCTCATTGGCTTATATGTGATGTCCAGTTAAGATTATGAAATGTTGCAAGCCAGATTTGAACTCCTATTGCCTATATTAGTACCACAGCTCACAGGGAAAACTACTCAGCCACAGCTCCGACATGTAGACACATTCCACTTATGGATTTTTTTTATTGAAATATTAGGGCTGAAG